GATTACCTGGAGTTTACCTGGAGAGAGTTCCGGGGGTCAACGCCCCCGCGGCCCGGTCTGAGACCAGGCCTCCTGGTGGATCAGAGCCTGATCAGCCAGGCTGTTGCTGCTGGCTGCACGCAAACCAACATACGATTCCCCAAAATTTAATCCCACCCCTCTCCCGAACACCCTAGCATTTACTTCCTTTACAACCCCATCTATAAATATATTAAACAACCATGGTGACATTACACATCCCTGTCTAAGACCTACTTTTACCGGGAAGTAGTCTCCCTCTCTTCTACACACCCTAACCTGAGCCTCACTATCCTCATAAAAACTCTTTACAGCATTTAATAACTTACCACCTATTCCATATACTTGCAACATCTGCCACATTGCTCAGCTACCCACTCTATCATATGCCTTTTCTAAATCCATAAATGCAATAAAAACTTCCCTACCTTTATCTAAATACTGTTCACGTATATGCTTCAATGTAAACACTTGATCTACACATCCCCTACCCACTCTGAAACATCCTTGCTCATCCGCAATCCTACATTCTGTCTTGCCTCTAATTCTTTCAATTATAACCCTACCGTACACTTTTCCTGGTATACTCAGTAAACTTATTCCTCTATAATTTTTACAGTCTCTTTTGTCCCCTTTCCCTTTATATAAAGGGACTATACATGCTCTCTGCCAATCCCTAGGTACCTTCCCCTCTTTCATACATTTATCAAACAAAAGTACCAACCACTCCAACACTATATCCCCCCAATACATACATATAAAATCACTGAAAGTTTGAGGTAAGAAGATGAGCAGCGATTATCAGATGAGAATAGAGACTCCAGCACCCATGTCATTGAAAGGGCCACATAGATTTTGTGCTTCATGAAATACAGTACATACAATAGTACATACAGTCAAATGATCACAGTCAAACTTACAAGGCAAAGAACACCATAAAATGTGAATCACCACAGGTATTTTCCTTCCATGGACACTTGCAACCCAGTTTCATATACAGTGAGCACATGCTGCTGTATGTTGCTGCCTTCTGCTCTTATTTTAAGACAAACAGAATGTTACAGGTTTGGTTGAGATACTTCATGAGAGAGTAAAGCATTTTTTTTTTTTTTTGGCTTATGGCCCACATCTGAAAAGAATAAAGGTTGAGTGTCTGAGGAGAGTTCTAGTAGATGTGTACTGCACATCAGACAACTTGGACAGACTGGAAATACAGTGATGTTCAAGACTTGCCAGTACTTTATGGGGGCTGTACTTTAACAGATCACTTTCTGTATCAATAAGACAGTGTTCAAGGGGTTGTGTTTTAATGGGGTTCACTGTAATTCCTTGCCATTCACTAGCTTATCAATCAGGATGTCTTCATTTTTCACTTAAAGTATAGTCATAACAAAATTGTGAATTTTCAGAATTAAGAAAACAGTAGAGTGCATAATCACACAAATTTTTAAGCTGTTAACAATATTTAAAGGCATTATTATTCAACAAAAAATAATAAATATTTGTCAACACACTGTGAGGTGGCAGCAGCAACAGCAGTAGTGTTCACTGAGAGTGTAATACCTCTGACTCTTAACATAGAACTGATTTGGCAAGTTTCACCCTAAAACTCACACAAACATATTTTACAGTAGTTTAATGCAAATTTATAAAGAAAAAATTGCTAAATAAATAAACACTGCTCAGACCCACATAGTGTATAGTTGTTTTATTGCAAAGTCATAAAGCAGCTAAATATAGAGAATGAGTGTGAATTTGTTGGTTGCCTCCTCACCCAGAAGCCTGTTCTGAGTGTGAGTATGCACTTCTACCACCACACCTACCTTATTTATCTCTTTTCCTCTACCTGTTCCCCATCTCTCTCTCTCTCTCTCTCTCTCTCACTCACCCACTCACTCTCACTCACTCTCTCACTCACTCTCTCACTCTCTCACTCTCACTCTCTCACACTCTCACTCTCACTCTCTCACTCTCTCACTCTCACTCTCTCTCAATCTCACTCTCAACTAAATACTGCTGCTCCACTACCAACATAATCCCACACATGACCACTAACTATGAAATGTTCTGCCAGAACACTACATAGTCTCAACCATGAAATTAAAAACACATTCAGAGCTCTTTAAATTAAATATTTATTGATTATCTAACAGACCACTTTTTTTGGTAAAGAGTCTTATTTAGTCTCCAATTCATTTCTTCTTACTTCTGACAGAATTAACCTCTTATCGCTAACACTTTTTCAGTTTACGAGGTTTTCACAGAGTGAAACAAAAACAGCAATGGATTGCAGTGGTAATGGCACAAAAAAAAATTGACATTGAAAGATATTGGCCATAATACTAAACAAAATTATTTAACACTCCATGCAATACAATCACAAACAAGTGATTTTAACAATGCAGAACAAGCCACATGGGGATGAAAATCTTTAGCTCCAGATCTTTCACACTCTAATGCATCATTAGGAGCTATGTAATGTTGCACAGTTATCTGCTGCTGTCTTACAATGCAACATTGAATAGCTCCTGATGATGCATGAGAGTGCAAAAGATCTAGAGCTAAAGATTTCTATCTCTATGTGTCTTGTTCTGCATAAGACTCCATATCTGAATGGAGTAAACTAAATACAATGTACCCTCGATTTTCCTGTTTAATCCATTCCAGAGCCATCGGCCAAAACCGAAACCATTTTTCCCATGAGAAATAATGTAAATGGAATTAATCCATTCCAGACACCCAGAAGTACCAACAAAATTTCTTTTACCTTAAAGATAGTTACATGCACAAAAGAATGAACATTACACTTGACACTTATCTTTATTGAAGGCTATTGTTGCTGGAAGAAAGACAGGGAGGAAGGGAGAGGGAAGATAGGTTATTGTTTGGAAGGGGAATCCCTCTCCATAAGGACTCTAGGTACCATGTCCTTATCTGGGGTCACTTCCCTCCTTTGTTTTTTAATGCCACTAGGACCAGCTTGAGAGTCACTGGACCCCTGTTGCACAAAATATCTGTCCAGATAAGTCTTTTTTTCTGGCATCTCTTTAAAGTTTTCCCTAAAATGGGACATGAAAATTGTCGTTGTAAAAGTCCCCAGCCGTTTGCAACAGTTTTCGGGGTGAGGGTTTCCCCCAAAAACAATCATTTTTAGCCCCCAACTGCACAAAATTTCCCCTTAATTTTGAAAAGGCATTTTTTTCCATCTCTCTTCCTCCCTCTAAAGCAATTTCCTCACTGGGGTCTCTTGCTATTGCAGTGAACTTTTCAGCTTATTATGGTACTCTTCATTGTGGTCCTCCCCAACTTTTCCCACCCTGGCCACCACATCCAAACCCCCGGGAATTCCCCAATCCCCATAATTAATTGCACAACGGGTTGGGGCGACAGGTCACTAAAACCCCCATCAAATCCTTCTTGTGGAAAAAAAACGGGCCACAATTTTCTCCAAGCAAAGTTCATCATCTGGAAGCACTCCGCCAAGCCTTATCTATAAAGCCTATGCATGGGAAATTCGAAGTGATTCTTCCCGAACTTTCTTAGGTCAATTCGAGTCCGGGTTAGTCAGAGTCCTTTGAAACATGCTTTGGGGTAAAAAGTTTTTGAATTTTCAATGATCGTGGGCCTGGGTGGAGGGGAACGGTTTAGGGGGCAAGAAATTCACTGTTTAAAACTGAATTCCTTAGAAACAATTTTGGGCTCCAAGCGGGGGATGAGCAGAGCATTGCCAAACGGGGGCACTGGTGGCAATTTTTTTTTTCCAGGGGGTTTTCTTGCACTCCCGGGCCAAAAGCTTCACTGAACCATTCCGGAAAAATTTCCCCCGGGGACCCTGCCCTCTGTTAGCCCTTTCCCCATCCACACAATTAATCTTGACAAACTTTTTTGAAAACTCTGGATTTTTTAAATGATACACCAAAAGGCTTCACTCTGAAATCCCCACCCAACATTACCACACAACAAGAGAGTTAGCCTTCTTTCAAGGCTTGTCCGGAGTGCCCTTTTCCCCCTGGAAGTAGGTCCTCTTGGGATTTTCTTCCAAAAAGCCCTTTTTATCACAATTTAAAAAACTTTTGGGGTTGGGAATTTTTCACCTCTACATAAATTTGAATTCCCCCGCTAATTTTTTAGCCCTTGTTTTTCGAACTGCACCCCCCCCGTGCCTTTCAAAACTAGTAGTCACTTCACTTTTTGAAATTTTCAAACCAGCCTTTGCTGGCTTTAAATTCACCTACATCAGCACTTGTTTCAGGCAGTTTCTTTAAGAGGTCGTCATGTAACTTTCTTGCTTTTTCACAAATAATTGACTGCACAATACTATCTCCTGCTAACTCTTTCTCTCTGATCCACACCAACAACAATTTCCCCACTTCTTCAATTGCTTGGGATCTCTGCTTGGTTATTGCATTCACCCCTTTTGCAACATCAGCTTCCATGGTTTCTTTTCTCTTTGCCACAATGGAGCTGATTGTTGATGGCAACTTCTTGTACATCCTGCCGAGTTCAGCAATGCGTATGCCATTCTCATATTTTCTTAGGGTTTCTTTTTTCACTTCTACAGTGTTCCTCACTTTCCTTACCAAAGCAATGGCACTAGGAGCTTCCTTTGGGGACATGGTCACTTATTTAGCAGTCACACACAATAAACAAGTGGCAAAAACAATGGATTATTACGATGTTTTGTATGGCCTGGCAGGATATGTTCACTCACCGAGAAACAGTGCTACACTGGCTGAGAATGGTGTGGGAGGCAGCTTTGTCTGTACATTTAGCACCAGACAGGTTCCGTATGATCGACAAAAACGAAGGTAATTGATGAAAACAGAGACCAAAAATCAGTCAAAATCGAAATCGGTGATAACGAAGATCGACAAAAATGGAGGGTCCACTGTATTTTTTTACCATTGCCTTCAATGAAATTTTTTTTCTTAAATTACCTTATAAATCATCACACTATGGAAGCTTTACAAGAAATAACTTGCCTAACTAGATGAATTTTGTTGAATTCTGCTGTAGGAAGAAATGCCTCCCTAGCAAACCGGGAATTACCAATATCAGGTTGGACCACACCAAGACGGTAAAGATATGTACGAGAAATGGCATCATAACGGGCATGGAAAGAACTAGGGACAGGCACGGTCTTGTGGACTCTGAAAATATAAATCAAATTAATGATCTAATGCGAATGCACACGCACATTTGTGATTTTCTTTTTATCCTTTAAAATTTATGACAAATTTATTTAATTCACACAAACAGTAAGCAAAGAAAATTGGGATTTTGTGTGAAAGTACGTATAATGTAGTGAAGCTTTTTTTTTTTTTTTTTTTTTTTTTTTTTAACAAGTCGGCCGTCTCCCACCGAGGCAGGGTGACCCAAAAAAGAAAGAAAATCCTCCAAAAAAAAATACTTTCATCATCATTCAACACTTTCACCACACTCACACATTATCACTGTTTTTGCAGAGGTGCTCAGAATACAACAGTTTAGAAGCATACACATATAAAGATACACAACATATCCCTCCAAACTGCCAATATCCCAAACCCCTCCTTTAAAGTGCAGGCATTGTACTTCCCATTTCCCGGACTCAAGTCCGACTATATGAAAATAACCAGTTTCCCTGAATCCCTTCACTAAATATTACCCTGCTCATGACTTAACAAAATCCTCTTACTAAAGGGTAAAGTTTTGTCCACATGGTCACCCTGCAACTACTGACTAAAAACTATAGTACTTAACATGTTTCCATGAGTAACATGGAAGTCATTAAGTGCTAAGATAAATCAACGATGAAATAGTAACAGAAGGACTTAAAAGTAAAATAAAGACAAATACAGTGGACCCCCGGTTTACGATCAGCTCCCAGTGAAACCAATTATGTAAGTGTATTTATGTAAATGCGTATGTGTATGTTTGGTGGTCTGAAATGGACTAATCTAATTCACAATATTCCTTATGGGAACAAATTCGGTCAGTACTGGCACCTGAACATACTTCTGGAATGAAATAATATCGTAAACTGGGGGTCCACTGTATTAGATAAACAGTACAGCTGTATTTTACAAAAGAAAAACACATGAGCTTGACTCTATCATCATTACTGATCTTATGTCATCAATGTGCTCACTGGAGAAGCCAGGTATAGATACTCAAAAATCGGGGAAAACAGAATTAATGTACAATTGCTATAGATCTCACCACACATTGGATTACCATTTCATTATAAAGTTGATATGTTAGCCAAGAAGAGTACCCTGAAGGAGAATTAGAATATAACTTTGGTACATCTGTGTCTAGCATTAGGAATAATATTAGGAGAGAAGTAAATAATAAAAATGAATGTTATAGGAATACAATTAGAAGCCTGAGTAGATCTATAACCCGCTATAATAACATGAATGTAGATAAGTATGTTTGTGGAGCAACCTGCAATGTGAACAGACTAACTGATGGTGTAATGAGTAGGCTAAGACTTGGTTACAAGTACCGTGGAACCTCGTTTTTCGGCCGCTGCATTTATCGGCCAATTCATATTTAGGCCGGTTTCTTGGTGGAAATTTTGCTTCATATTTCGACCGTTGCCTTGTATATCGGCCATATTAGATGCATCAGTCCGCCTCCAGCCAGGAAGCTGCATGTAGACAAGTCAGTCTCCCTCCTTATAGAGAATAAACTTTGAATTTGAATTTGAATTTGTCTGTCAGGGAGTGAGAATATACTCCATGCATTCATCCAAACATTTCCTTAAAATCCAATGTTTTTGGCGTTTTTTTATTAAGTGCAACTGTGAAATAAGTCACCATGGGCCCCAAGAAAGTTCCTAGTAAAGATCCTTTGGTAAAGAAAGTGAGAAACGCGATGGAATTTAAGAAGGAAGTAATAGAAAAATATGAGAGTGGTGTGCGGGTGCTGGAACTTGCCAGGATGTATTGCAAAAACAAATCAACAATCACTTCTATCCTGGCAAAGAAGGAACAAATCAAGGAAGCTGATGTGGCGAAAGAGGTAAACAGGTTAACGAAAAAGAGATCACAAAGAAATGAAGATGTGGAGAAGTTGTTGTTGTTGTGGATCAGGGAAAAACAGTTAGCAGGAGATAGTGTTTCAGAGATGATCATTTGTGAAAAGTAGCATGCGGATCTCACAACAAAAATGCCTGGTACTAGCGATGATGTTAATGAATTTATGGCCAGCAGAGGCTGGTATGAGAAATTTAAGAAGTGCAGTGGCATACACAATGTTACAAAGCATGGTGAGGCTGCAAGTTCAGACAAATGTGCGGCTGAAAAATCTGTGCAGGAATTTAAGGGGTAAGTACAGACTGAAGAATTCCAACCTCAACAAGTGTTCGATTGTGACAAAACAGGCCTCTTTTGGAAGAAAATGCCAAAGAGGACCTACATCACGGAGGAGGAAAAGGCACTGCCAGGACACAAGCCTATGAAAGACAGGCTAACTCTTTTGTTCTGTACTAACGCTAGTGGGGATTTCAAAGTGAAGCCTTTACTCACGTATCACTCTGAAAATCCCAGAGTGTTCAAGAAAAACAATGTCGTCAAGAGCAAATTGTGTGTCATGTGGAAAGCTAATCATATGGCATGGGCCACAAGCCAAATTTTCATTGACAGGGTCCATGAAGTGTTTGGTCCGAGTGTAAAAAAATACCTCCTGGAAAATAAATTGCCACTCAAGTGCCTCCTGGTAATGGACAATGCTCCTGCTCATCCTCCAAACTTGGTAGACCTATTGTCTAGGGATTTCTGTTTTATAACAGTGAAGTTCTTGCCTCCTAACACCACTCCTCTCATCCAGCCCATGGACCAGCAGGTCATTTCTAACTTCAAAAAACTCTACACAAAAGCAGTGTTTGAAAAGTGCTTTGAAGTGACCTCGGACACTGAACTGACCCTAAGAGAGTTCTGGAGGAATCACTTCAATAGTATACAGTGGAACTCCAGTTTTCGTACGAACCGGATATCGGACATTTTGGATATAGGACCCTTTTTTGGGCGAAATTTTGTTCTGGATGTTGGACCTCAATCTGGAAAGGGTTTGAGGCTGACTCTGACCCTGTCAACCCTCTGCCTGTTGTGGAATCTATTGTGGCATTGGGGAAGTCCATGGGGTTGGATGTGAGTGGCGAGGATGTGGAAGAGTTGGTGGAGGACCACAGGGAAGAGCTAACCACTGAAGAGCTGCAACACCTTTAACTGGAGCAGCAACAAACCACAGCTGAGGAACTTGCTTCAGAGGAGGAGGAGGAGGAACAAAGAGGGAAGGATGTGCCTTCTTCAGTGATTAAGGACATTTGTGCAAAGTGGAATGAGGTGCAAACCTTTGTGGAGAAACACAGTATCACCCTGACCAAGCTGAAACAAGCCATATCTGCAACATGTTCAGTGACAAAACCTTGTCCCATTTCAGGGAAATCTTAAAGAGAAGCCAGAAACAGACCTCTCTAGACAGATTTTTTGTGCGACAGGGGTTCAGTAGCATCAAAAGACAAAGAAGGGATGTAACCCCAGAGAGGGACTTGTTATCTGAAGTCATTATAGAGGGGGATTTCCCTTCTAAACAATAGCCCCAACTCCCTCTCTCCTCCTCCCTATCTTCCATAAGCCAACAAGAGTCTTCAATAAAGGTATGTAATAGTGATTTAATTGTTCATGTATTTATTTTATTTAGTTCTCATTGCTTTGTGTATGTAAAACTATAATTTATCTTTACAAAAATTATTTTTTGCTAATATTTTTGGGTGTCTGGAACAGACTGTTTTTTTTTTTCAACAAGTTGGCCGTCTCCCACTTAGGCAGGGTGACCCAAAAGCAAAGAAAATCCCCAAAACAAAAATACTTTCATCATCATTCAACACTTTCACCTCACTCATACGTAATCACTGTTTTTGCAGAGGCGCCCAGATACACAGTTTAGAAGCATATATAAAGATACAATATAAAAATTAACTGTATTTACAACTGTATAAAATAACTGTATAATAATTAATTGTATTTACATTAGTTATTATGGGAAATATCATTTCAGTTCTCGGCCATTTCAGTTTTAGGCCAACCTTCTGGAACGGATTACGGCCGATAACCGAGGGTCCACTGTACAGTGGTCCCTCGTTGTTCGTAATTAATCTGTTCCTGGAGCCGTTACTATAAACGAAATTTACAATTTACGAATCAATTTTCCCCATAAGAAATAATGTAAATACAATTAATCCATTCCTGACACCCAGAAGTATTAAAACAAAAAATTTTTTAACATGAAATATACATGTAGTACATAAACAATACAATGGGAAATGATGAATGAAACATTAACAGCATAACACTTACCTTTATTGGAGATTCTTCTTAGTGTATGGGAGACTGGAGGAGGAGAGAGAGTGGATTGTTTATAGTTTGGATGGGGAATCCCCTTCCATCAACACCTCAGGTACCATTTGCTTTTCTGGGGTTGCTTCTCTTCTCTGTTTCTTAATGCCACTAGGACCACCTCGAGAGTCACTGGAGTCCCGTCTCACAAAATAACTGTGGAGAGAGCTCTGTTTCTGGCGTTTCTTTAACACTTCCCTAAAATGGCCCAAGACTTTGTCACTGTACATGTTGCCAACCTGGCTTGCAACAACCTTGTTAGGGTGATGTTTCTCCATAAAGCTTTCCATCTTACCCCACATAGTAAAAATCTCTTTAATTTCTGAAGAAGGCACCTTCTTCCATCTCTCTTCCTCCTCCTCTGCAGCAAGATTCTGAGCTGCGATGTGTTGCTCTTCCTGCTGAAGCTCTTGCAGCTCCTCAGTGGTGAGCTCTTCATTGTGGTCTTCCACCAATTCTTCCACATCCTCCAAACTCACATCCAACCCCATGGAACTCCCCAGTGCCACAATTGATTTTACAACAGACATAGGCTCATTAGGGTCAGTCCCAAATCCTTCAAAATCCCTCTTGTCGACACAATCTGGCCACAATTTTTTCCAGGCAGAGTTCAAAGTCCTGGTAGTCACTCCCTCCCAAGCCATACCTATAAGGGTTATGCAGTGGAGGATGTTGAAGTGTTCTCTCCAAAATTCCCTTAGGGTCAAGTGAGTGTCTGTGGTCACAGTCAAGCACCTGTGAAACACTGCTTTTGTGTAGAGTTTTTAAAGTTTGCAATAACCTGCTGGTCCATGGGTTGGAGGAGAGGAGTGGTATTCAGGGGCAAGAACTTTACTGTGATGAACCCAAACTCCTCAAAAATTAGGTCATCCAAGTTTGGAGGATGAGCATTGTCCATTACTAGCACGCACTTGAGATCCAATTTCTTTTCCAGGAGATACTCCTTCACACTAGGGCCAAACACTTCATTGAACCACTCGACGAAAATTTCCCTCGTGACCCATGCCTTACTATTAGATTTCCAAAACACACACAATTTACTCTTCATAACATTGTTTTTCCTGAACACTCTGGGGATTTTCAGAATGGTACACTAGTAATGGCTTCACTTTGAAATCCCCACTAGCATTAGCGCAGAACATTAGCGTCAGCCTGTCTTTCATAGGCTTATGTCCTGGCATTGCCTTTTCCTCTTGTGTAATGAAGGTCCTCTTTGGCATTTTCTTCCAAAAGAGGCCTGTTTTGTCACAATTGAACACTTGTTCAGGTTTCAGTCCTTCAGCCTCTATGTACTCCTGGAATTCATGCAAATATTTTTCAGCCGCCTTGTGGTCCGAACTGGCAGCTTCACCATGCCTTACCACACTGTGTATGCCAGTACGGTTCTTAAATCTCTCAAACCAGCCTTTGCTGGCCTTAAATCCACTCACTTCACCACTATTTGCAGGCAATTTCTTTACCAAATCTTCATGCAACTGCCTAGCCTTTTCACAAATAAACGAAGTCATAAGAGTATCTCCTGCTAATTGTTTCTCATTTATCCACACCAATAATAACTTCTCAACCTCTTCCAGTACTGGTGATCTCATTTTTGTCAGCATAGTTACTCCCTTCACAACAACAGCATCCTTTATTTCATTTTTCTTGGCCACTATGGAACATAAGGTTGTGTAGGGTTTCTTATACATCCTGGACAGTTCGGCCACACTTGTACCACTTTCATATTGTTCAATGATGGTTTTCTTAAATTCAATCGTATTTCTCACCTTCTTTACCACAGGCTTGGCACTAGGAGCTTTCTTTGGAGCCATGGTAGCTTATTTAGTACTTGCAAGCACTAAAATAAATGGAATATTATGAAATATTTCGCTGCAGCACGCGAGGGGACCTTCGCTCACTGGTAAACAACGCCAGACTGGCTGCCGCCCTGGCCCACGCCGTGCGTACACGTCCCGGACGAACTACGACTCGCGAGTCAACCTATGAAGAGCGAGTCCATGTTTATATGAAAATACCCCTATGATTGGCGAATTTTACGATTGCCGGGAACTACGAAAAGCGGGGGACCACTGTATTAGATTCTCAAAAATTGGAATCCTGGTAGAAACATTAAAATCCAGCAGAACTGCAAAGTAAATGTTTTACTTGTAAGTCACTAGCAATGGGTAATCTTACCTTACAGCAGCTTCACTCTTTTTAAAAAAGTTGTTGAGACAGTATGTGATAGTGTTAGGATCATAGAATAACCCATTTTTGCACTGGGCGAGATCTACATGGGCTGTATTACACACAGCATGAACACCTGAAAAAAAAGAGGAATTTACTAAGACAAGCTAGTACTGCACAATAACACTGTACAGTAATCTGTAAGATTCATGCTTGAAAAATGCCTATACTGCCCATTCCAGCTATGCTCAGTATTTATTGATTTGTGGGTAGCCAGCATCGACATCGTATGCAGCAATGTTTTATTTTATACATGTGAGTGAGTAACTGTCACAGCTGCTGGGTGAACACAAGTGTGGTGGAGAGTTCTCTCAAAGATAACAGCTTATATAAGGCACAACAATTTTTTTTTTTATCTCAACAGGTATCTCCTACCAAAGCAGGGTGACCAAGAGATAAAGAACACATATTCACCATCATCCATTCACAGCCTCTCCTGTCCTGACGGCACCGTCCCCTAACCAGTTTCCTTAAATAACAAAAAAAGACACAATACCGTGACTGGAACGATACACAAATAACCCGCACATAAAAGAGAGAAGCTTACAATGACGTTTCAGTCTGACTTGGACCATTTACAAAGTCACACTAACCAGAAGTGGAGCAGGACGGCTATATATAGGCAGGAAGAGGTGGTGGTAGTAGTAGTACAAGAATGGTATATAATACTGACAAGATGAAATTAAGACACATGCGCAACACCCAGGCATCCCTATTGTAGACGTTTCGCCATCCAGCCAGCACATGGATGGCGAAACGTCCACAACAAAGACACCCAGACGACGCACATGTGTCTTAATTTCATCATCATCATCATCATATCATTAGTAGTAGTAGTAGTAGTAGTAGTAGTAGTAGTAGTAGTAGTAGTAGTAGTAGTAGTAGTAGTAGTAGTAGTAGTAGTAGTAGTAGTAGTAGTAGTAGAGTAGTAGTAGTAGTAGTAGTAGTAGTAGTAGTAGTAGTAGTTAGTAGTAGTAGTAGTAGTAGTAGTAGTAGTAGTTAGTATAGTAGTAGTAGTAGTAGTAGTAGTAGTAGTAGTAGTAGTAGTAGTAGTAGTAGTAGTATAGTAGTAGTAGTAGTAGTAGTAGTAGTAGTAGTAGTAGTAGTAGTAGAGTAGTAGTAGTAGTAGTAGTATAGTAGTAGTAGTAGTAGTAGTAGTAGTAGTAGTAGTATGTAGTAGTAGTAGTAGTAGTAGTAGTAGTAGTAGTAGTAGTAGTAGTAAAAAAGGAGGACGAGCCAGTCAAATACAAAGGAAGGGGAGCACTGCAAGAGAGCTAGGTGCCCACAGAGGGAGAGCAAGCGCACAGAGGTGCGTGAAAGGGAAAGTGGTGAAATAAATGAATTAGGAACAGAAACACGAGACAGAAGAGAGAAAGACAACACAGAGGAGAAAAAGGAAAGAGGAAAGGGGAAGAGGGAGAAGAAGAAAAAGAAAAAGAAAAAATGAGGAGTCAGGTTAAGTCACAGGTGTTCTGAAGTTTGGAGCATTTTACAATGTAGTGGAAGAGGAAGGCATTTACAGACACGAAGCCAGGGCTAAGATTCATGCAAGGAAAGTTGTGTATTAGAGAGGATTCAAGTAGACGGCGACTGTTCGAGTTGGAAGTAGGGAAGACAGTTTTAGCAGAAGACCAGTCAATAGGATGGCTATGATCTCTGACGTGACAGAAAAGAGCATTGTTAGTGTCGGCAAGCCTAACACTATTTTTGTGCTCCCTAAGTCTGTCAGAAAGAGAACGGCCAGTTTTTCCAAAGTATTGAAGAGGACAGGAGGAGCAAGAAATAGAGTAGACACCAGGAACATCTGTAGAGGGAGGAGAGGTATGAACGAGATTAGTGCGAAGAGTGTTAGTCTGGCGGAAGGTAAGCTTAATGTCTAAGGGACGGAGAGAATTGTTGAGATTAGAAAGACCGGAAATGCAGGGAAGGCAGAGGATAGAAGAGTTCCCAGGAGTAGAGTGTTTGGGAGAGAAGAAATTACGTTTAGCACGTGAGAGGGCAGACTCATGCCCTCTCACGTGCCATGTTTACATTTGAATTCATACATGGAGTTTGCCTCCACCATCTCTTCCAGTGCATTCCACATACTACCCTCATGCTGAAGTTTTTCTTATATTTCTTTGGATCATTCTGGCATTTATTTTCCAGTTGTGCCCCTTGTCCTGGTCCAACCCCAACTCAAACTGCATTCATCTACTTTATCAATACCATCAAGTATCTTTTATGCTGTGATAAAGAAATCTCTCTAACTTCCATGTCTGAGGGGAAGTCTATTCTATGCTAGTGCTATGCACTGCAATATGAACCTTATGTAAGTTGTTCATGTGATTCTGAATGACTCTTTGTTAAAATTTCTCTTTGTGCTCAAGTGATCAACAGTAATAAGCTTGGGAAAAGTTACAATACAAAATGAAGCTATTACAGTATAGGAAATCTGCTAAACTTATTACCAATAAAGGAACATTTCCAATAGTACTGTAACATATATTTTTATAATTGAAAATAACACAAAGCACTTACTTCAAAATCAGTGGTGGTAACTTCAAAATGTTTCCCACGAATCTCAAATGCAATAAATTGATTCAGCTTGAAAACATGATACAGTGGAACCTCAAATATCGAACTTAATCCGTTCCAGGAGTTAGTTCTAAATTCGAAAAGTCTGAAAAGCAACACAATATTTCCCATAAGAAATAATGGAAATAAAATTAATCTGTTCCAGAAACCCAAAAATATTCACAAAAAAAAAAAAAAACATTTTATAGAGATTAATATAGTTTTACATACACACAACAAATATAGTGCTCAATTATGTATTAATAAATTTAAATATATAAAATAACATTTTGCTTACCTTTATTGAAGATTGGTGATGGCATCTGGAAGACAGGGAGGAGGAGGAGAGGGAGTTGGGTTTAGTGTTTGGAAGGAGAATCCCCCTCCATGAGGACTTCAGATATCAAAGCCCTCTCTGGGGTTACTTCCCTTCTGTCTTTTAATGCCACTAGGACCAGCTTGAGAGTCACTGGACCCCTGTCTCACAAAATAACTGTCCACAGTCCTCTGTTTCTGGTGCCTCTTTAACATTTCCCTAAAATGGGACATGGTTCTGTCACTGAACTTGTTGCAAAGATGGCTTGTTTCAGCTTGCTCAGGGTGGTACTTCTCCACAAACATTTGGACATCATTCCATTTCTGTATTATTTCCTTCACACCTATGGTGTTTCTCACTTTCTTTACCACAGGGGCACCACTAGCAAGTTTCTTTGGGCCCATTGTAGCTTATTTCACAGTCTCACAGGTACTAAACACAATGAAATAATCATAAATGTTTGAATGAGAGCGCAGGTTAGTGTTCACTCAAGCATCAACAAAACCAGACTGGCTCATGGCGCATGCGTGGGGACGCAGACAGAGCGGGCTGCCGGACAGGTCCGGTACCCGGCGGTTTGAAAATAAGGGCGAGTTCGATAATAGGGACAAAGTTGGTTCAAAAAAAGGGTTCTATTTTTGAAGAGTTCGATAAGCGATACGTTCGAAATTTGAGGTTCCACTGTACAAGAAACAAACTATGACTCGCGTGCAACACGTGAACTTTCGTGAATTTTTTCTCTTACCTTTATCAGTGCGACTAGAAAAGTAGATCACAGGAGTATTAGCTGGACAAAGGCGTATCAATCCATTTTCCACTATCCCATGAACACTGCTCAATTTATTCTCCAAGTCCTCTGTTTGTTTTTGAATACCCCTAAAAGAAAAATTAACAAACTTGCATCATTATACAGTACAGTACACATTTTGACACTATATTTCTTGCTCAACATAACTTTTATTCTACAGCCATCATGTCAATAACACCACATTTTTTTTGTCCCAGTGCAGTTGAACCTGGAGGTAGAAACAATACATTGAAGCTCCACACTATCCTAGACGTTTGGCATGTCCTGGTCATATAATGACCAAAAGTGAGAATTCATCCAGCACCCATACCTCAATAATGTTACTTGTAACTTAACATAAAAAAAATATGGTTTTACTTAACTTGGTAGAAGTCTAGCCTTCTGCTGGCTATTTGCTCTAACCTATTGTATGAGGGGATGAAAAGGAGGGGCAAGGGAAACTGTACAGTGTACACATTACTGCAGCCTCAAGGTCATACCCCTTTTCATCTACTAGATACAGCAATAGTTATACATTCATCTGAAAGCGGAATTTTATCCTGCAAAAATGTTGAGTTTATAATGCCTACCATATCATAGGTATCACAAGAGACTCTTAAAATTAGGGTTTCCAAATGATTATTGTACATACAATGAATGATGTATTTCTCTTTGTCCACACTGTGGCCGAAAAATGCAGACAAATAGGCTTCTCAATCAATCTAATTTCTAGTGTTTCTATCAGTGGAAGACTTTTCAATTGGGTTATGGTATTTTTTTTTTCCCTGCATGTATTAGTTGGCTGGAAGCTGACTGAAGCTCAATCCTATGACACCAGTGTGTCTGGCTCCTGGACAGTGCCATTACATATGCCACTGGAGCTCTTCATGGAAAGCATGATGCTGACATGCCTATACAGTGGACCCTCGACCAATGTTGGCATCGTCTAACGTTAAATCTGATTAGTGATACATTTTAACGCAAAAATTTTGCCTCGACTAGCGCTAAAAAACCCGACCAATGCTATTTGTTCCGTTTGAGACGCATCCACTTGTGGCCTGAGCGCACCTCACTTGTCCCATGGGTGCCAGTGTTTACAAGCCAGCCAGCCACTGCTGTCCCATCCAAACATACAATCGGAACATTTCATATTATCCCAGCGTTTGTAGTGATTGCACCTGCAAAATAAGTCACCATGGGCCCCAAGAAAGCTCATAGTGCCAACCCTACAGCAAAAAGGGTGAGAATTACTATTAAATTAGACAAGTTTAGATTTAGAAAGGATATAGGAAAGTATTGGTTTGGAAATAGGGTAGTTGATGAGTGGAACAGTCTACCTAGTTGGGTTATTGAGGCTAGGACTTTGGGAAGTTTCAAATTTAGGTTGGATAAATATATGAGTGAGAGGAGTTGGATTTGAGTGGATAGAGTTATCAGAGCTTATTTCTTGGGTAGCATTGAAAATTAGGTTGGACAAATGTTTTGTTAGTGGGATGGATTGTAAAGGACCTGCCTAGTATGGGCCAACAGGCCTGCTGCAGTGATCCTCCTTTCTTATGTTCTTATGGATATGAAGAAAGAGATCATTGCTAAGTATGAAAGTGGAGTGCGTGTCTCCGAGCTGGCAAGGTTGTACACAAAACCCCAATCAACCATCGCTACTATTGTGGCCAAGAAAACGGCAATCAAGGAAGCTGTTCTTGCCAAAGGTGCAACTATGTTTTCGAAACTGAGATCGCAAGTGATAGAAGATGTTGAGAGATTGTTATTGGTGTGGATAAATGAAAAACAGATAACAGGAGATAGCATCTCTCAAGCGATCATATGTGAAAAGGCTAGGAAGTTGCATGACGATTTAATTAAAAAAATGTCAGCAACTAGTGGTGATGTGAGTGAATTTAAGGCCAGCAAAGGTTGGTTTGAGAGATTTAAGAATTGTAGTGGCATACATAGTGTGATAAGGCATGGTGAGGCTGCCAGTTCGGACCACAAAGCGGCTGAAAAATATGTGCAGGAATTCAAGGAGTACATAGACAGTGAAGGACTCAAACCTGAACAAGTGTTTAATTGTGACGAAACAGGCCTGTTTTGAAAGAAAATGCCAAGCAGGACCTACATTATTCAGGAGGAAAAGGCACTCCCAGGACATAAGCCTATGAAAGACAGGCTTACTCTGTTGATGTGTGCCAATGCTAGTGGTGATTGCAAAGGTGAAGCCTTTATTGGTGTATCACTCTGAAACTCCCAGTGTGTTCAGGAAAAACAATGTCCTCAAGGCTAATTTGTGTGTGCTGTGGAGGGCAAACAGTAAAGCATTGGTCACTAGGGACTTTTTCTATGACTGGTTACACCATGCATTTGCCCCCACTGTGAAAAATTACCTCCTGGAAAATAAATTGGACCTTAAGTGCCTCCTGGTATTAGACAATGCTCCCGGTCATCCTTCAGACTTGGCAGAGCGACTTTCTGTGGACATGAGCTTCATTAAGGTGAAGTTTTTACCTCCTAATACTACTCCTCTCCTGCAGCCCATGGACCAGCAGGTCATTGCAAACTTCAAAAAACTCTACACAAAAGCTATGTTTGAAAGGTGCTTTGTAGTGACCTCAGAAACTCAATTGACTCTAAGAGAGTTTTGGAGAGATCACTTTAGCATCCTCAATTGTGTAAACCTTATAGGTAAGGCTTGGGAGGAAGTGACTAAGAGGACCTTGAACTCTGCTTGGAAAAAACTGTGGCCAGAATGTGTAGACAAAAGGGATTTTGAAGGGTTTGAGGCTAACCCTGGGAATCCTACCAGTTGAGGAACCCATTGTGGCAGGGGGAAGTCCTTGGGGTTGGGGGTTAGTGGGAGGATTTTGAAAGGGGTGGAGGAGGCAATGAAAAACCCTAACCCTGAAGCTGCTAGATCACTTCAACAGCAAGAGGCCAACCTGAGGAAACTGCTTCAAGGGAGGGGACAGAAATTGAAGAATTTTCCTACTCAAAGATTAAGGAAATGTGGCGTGGCTTAAAGGAAAACCCTTTTTTTTGATGAAAAACCCCTCACACAGCACTGAAAGCCGTTTTGGAAACCCTTCACTGACAATTTTCTGAAACCCTTTAGGAATGTCAAAAACGGAAGGGAGTACGGGCCTCTTGGGACAGATATTTTGGCAAAGGGTCCAGGCTCTCAACTGGCCCCATGGCATTAAAAGAAAAGAGAAGTAACCCCGAAAAAGGACTTGCCACCTAAACCCTAATGGAAGGGGATTCCCCCTTCTAACACTAAAACCATAAACATTTTTTCCCTCCTCCCTCCCATCAATCTCACCAGATCTTCAAAAAAGGTAAGTGTCATGTAACGGGCAGCTTCTTCAGTTTGTGTTATTAAAATTAATTTTTAGTGGAAAAAATTTTTTTTTTTTCAATACTTTGGGGTGTCAGGAACGGATTAATTTGATTTCCATTATTTCTTATGGGGAAAATTAACTCGACTAACGATAATTTCGATTAACGATGAGCTCTCAGGAATGGATTAATATTGTTGGTCTAGGGGTCCACTGTACTGTCAATTGTAAGTTAAAAAACCCTAGATTTAGCATCTCTAAACTTTACTGTCTTATGTTTATTGTATTCAATCTATTGTGGCTCATTCCATAACAATGGATGCAGGATATTGCTCAGAACCTCCATTAAGAGATACAATATATCCACATTCCTGTTAATCAGATTCTATAGCTTCAGTCCATTAATCAGATACTTATGTCAATAGTCTTGTATTTTACACTTTCCTCTTTCCTGATTACAGCTGTGTCTACTGTATAACAGGCTGGTGTACAATTTCAAAGTCATCACTAAGCTTTAATTATTAAAAAATGCATTTTAACCCTTCCAGGGTCGAGAGGCCCTCTCCTAAACTTGTTCTCAGGGTCAAAAAATTTTCGAAAAAAAAAAAAATTATTTTTTCTTATGAAATGATAGAATCTTTTTCCGATCATAATGACACCAAAAGTATGAAATTTGATGGAAAACTTACGAAATCATGCTCTCGCCAAGTTAGCAGTCTCGACGATGTTAACGCATCGGCGATTTCGCCCACTTTGAGCCCTATTCGGCCAATTCCAATGTACCAGTCGAGAAAAATCATAGAAATTTCACTAGAACTCAACTTTTTCTATCAAATGAGTACAAGAAACCACCCATTTACAGACTTCAACTATCCAATAAAGTGGTCAGAAATTGGCAATTTTGCCAGTTTCACACAAATTTCAAAAGATGCCAATTTCCAAATAGGGTCCAGAATAAACAAGACAGACATTCCTGGCACTAAAATAACATTTTCTCTGTTCATTAGTCACGTCCCAACGCCCCTCTTACATTTCTTTTGCTTTCCACTTTGAATTTTTATTCTCACAAAAAAATAGAAGATTTACTGTCATGCAGACTACTGCATTAGTGTAGAAATGGTATAAATAATATCAGTGCATTTGTGAAAGAATATCAGATTCACCAGTTGATGTGTATTGGATGCATGGCATGATCTGTTTGCTTTTGAACTTTGGCAAAAATTGAACATTTCTGCTACTTTGAGCTCAATATCAAGGTACTTTTCATTGTGAAACCAGTCAAAATCATCTCAATTTCTGTAATATGTCTTCCATTCTATAAAATGAAACCAGGAAAACTAGAATACACCCATAAATACCATATGAAAATACAATGCAAAATCGCTGTTTTAAACCAAAAACACGGTTGAAGTTTTTTTTCTCATTATGCACCGTGTGCTGCAGGATTTTTTTATACTGTGCACACTGACCACATAGACCCATTCTTTCATACATAGGCCTACCAGCTTTCTCCCGCTAGATTTGAAGGTGCTAGAATATCATATTGTATGAGAGCATAGTTATACCAACGCTCTTATATGGGTGCGAAGCATAGGTGGTGAATGTTGCAACAAGGAGAAAGCTGGAGGCAGTGGAGATGTCGTGTCTGAGGGCAATGTGTGGTGTGAATATAATGCAAAGAATTCATAGTTTGGAAATTAGGAGGAGGTGCAGGATTACCAAAACTATTATCCAGAGGGCCGAGGAGAGGTTGTTGAGGTGGTTCGGACAAGTAGAGAGGAAGGAACAAAACAGAATGATTTCGAGAGTGTATAAATCTGTATTGGAAGGAAGGCGGGGTAGAGGTCGTCCTAGGAAAGGTTGGAGGGAGGGGGTAAAGGAGGTTTTGTGTGCAAGGGGCTTGGACTTCCAGCAAGCATGCGCAAGTGTGTTAGATAGGAGCGAATGGAGATAAATGGTTTTTAGGACTTGACGTGTTGTTGGAGTGTAAGCAGGGTAATAATTATGAGGGGATTCAGGGAAACCAGCAGACTGGACTCGAGTCCTGGAGATGGGAAGTACAGTGACTGCACTCTGAAGGAGGGGTGTTAATGTTGCAGTTTTATAACTGGAGTGCAAGCGCACCTCTGGCAAGACAGTGATGGAGTAAATTATGGTGAAAATATTTCTTTTTTTTTGGTGTTAATAAAAAAAAATCATATTACAGTGCAATACACTGTACTAAAAATATCATAAGCATAAAAATTACAGTACAGCATTTATGTAGCAAAAACTATGAGTATTAACCCCTTGACTGTTGCAACCCCAAATCCTGAGGTCTCTCCTGATAAATCCCCCCCCAAAAAGAAAAATGATTGTTTCTTATGAAATGATAGAGAATCTTTTCCCGATTGTAATGACACAAAAAGAACGAAATTTGATGGAAAATTGGCAGAATTACGCTCTCGCGAAGTTAGTGACCTCTGTGATATATATGAATCGGAGGTTTCGCCCACTTTGAGCCCTATTTTCGGCTAATTCCATTGTTCCAGTCGACCAAACTCATAGCTATTTCTTTAGAACTCCATTTTTTCTATCGACTGAGTACAAGAAACTGCCCATTTACAGATTTCAAGTACCCAATAACATGGTCAGAAATTTGCAATTTGGCCAATTTCACGAAAATTAAAAAATATGACAATTTCAAAATAGGGTCCAGAATTAACAATGCAGACATTCCTAGCTCTAAAATAACATTTTCTTTGTTCATCAGTTACGTCTCCAGGCCCCTCTGATATTACTCTTGCTTTCTATTTTGAATTTTTATTCAAACAAAAAATAGAAGATTTACTGTTATGCAGACTACTGCAATACTGTAATAATTGTATAAATAATATCAACCCATTCATGACTGCATATCAGAATGTCTACTTGGACATTTATTGGAAAAAGACTTCATTTGTTTACTTTTGAACATTGGCAAAAATCAAACATTTCCCCTACTTTGAGGTCCATTTCAAGGTTCTTTTTATAGTAAAACCAATCAAAATCACCTCTATTTCTATAATATGTTTTCCATTCTATCAAATGAGACCAAGAAAACGAGAATACAACCATAAATGCCATACGAAAATAGACCACAAAGTCGGCATTTTAATTAAAAAAAAATGGTCGGAGTCTTTTTTTCTCATTATGCACTGTATGCTGCAGGATTTTTTTTTATATGGTGCACACTGACCACACAGACCCATTCTCTCACATGTGGGCCTACCAGCTTTCTCCTGCTTGAATTGAAGCTGCTAGAATTTATGAGTGGTATATATACATCAAACACAGTGGCTCATAAGAAGTATATATACGACCAAAAGAGCCAAAGGGTTAAAGAAATATATGGTTGATTCAGTTGTTGAAAGGTGTCAGGAAGTTCAAACCAATGATCGTTTTCCCAGCATCTGATCATATTAATTTTCATCGAATCTTTTGTCAACTGATCATACCAAAACAACTGACCTTCAGCAAACTGATATTCTACTGTACTGGTAAACTATGATGAATTTGTCAACAGCTGTTATTCTGAAGTGATTCATCAAATGCCACAGTATTCTAGAGTAAACAGGAAGCAAAGAATTTGGTTCTAAATCCTATAACTATGCGAGATATTCTTTCTGTTACCACCAAAAAGCTCCCAATAAAAATGCTTGAATATTTGATAATTTTAACATCAATGGGGCAATAGCTGAAGCAAAACATATTCAATAAATATTAATTTAAAAGGTTACAAAATGCAACATTAAAAGATTGAACCATGCAGTGTTGCAAAATAATATTCATTGGTAACTACACCATACAGATTACAGCTAGCACTGATAACAATTTACAAATCAAGTACTGTGCTGTAGCACTAACCGAAATCCTGTGCCAGAATATCCAACGTACAGAAGGTACCTCCTCATCTTCTGGTTACCAAGTCTGCTCAAACTGTCTTAAGCAAACCCACTTTTTCAACACGCTGGTCGAACCTGATGAGAGAATAGTTGATTAACCAGTACAAGTGATAATGAATTAGGCTACCTACAGGGGAATTAGTTTTAAATACTTTTTCAGTACAACTGAAAATTAAATAAGCTACCCATAATGTGATTAATTACTCTTGCAGTAAATTATGTACGTACGTATATGTTTCTTATGAGCTTTAAATAATTCTGCACCTAATACAGTAATGTATATCATATAAGCATTCTGGCTTATCATTTAAAGCTTAAATTTATACAAGCTATGGAACCTCATGAAGAAAGCATCTGCAATGACATTCCACTTTCGTACAGTGCAGTACTGTACATCTTAAGCAGTATTCAGAAGCATTTTTGGGAGGTAAACTACAGAGTTTTAGTTTATGAATTACATGTCTGTTGATTTATACTACTTCATATAACATACACAACAAATAGTATAAATATACTATGGTAACATAATATGCTTTACTTAGGAAAAATTTACAAATGGTTTTACAACAATATAAATTTTTACAAAGGCTCTGAGGACACATATGTAAAGGATATGCATATAAACTGCCTGCCTACACATATGCACATTACAATACATGTACATGTATATATTTAAAATAAATGAGTAATTTTATAAGTAAAACATGAGTCAAATTTTCCAAGAACATAATTAATACAGTAAATGAGTACATATATAATTTGCCTCGGTGGGAGACGGCCGACTTGTTGAAAAAAAGAAATATATATATATATATATGTATATATATATATATATATATATATATATATACAGTGGACCCCCGGTTAACGATTTTAATCCGTGCAAGAGGGGTAATCGTTATGCGAAATAATCGTTATGTGAATGAATTTTCCCCATAAGAAATAATGGAAATAAAATTAATCCGTGCAAGACACCCAAAAGTATGAAAAAAAAAACTTTTTACCACATGAAATGTTAATTTTAATACACACAAACTGAAAAAGGCATGCACACTTACATGACACTTACTTTTATTGAAGATCTGGTGATGATTGATGGGATGGGAGGAGGGGAGAGCATTATCTTCTTACTGTTTAGAAGGGGAATCCCCTTCCATTAGGACTTGAGGTAGCAAGTCCTTTTCCGGGGTTACTTCCCTTCTTCTTTTAATGCCACTAGGACCAGCTTGAGAGTCACTGGACCTCTGTCGCACAACAAATCTGTCCATAGAGCTCTGTACCTCCCGTTCCTTTACGATTTGTCTAAAATGGGCCACAACATTGTCATTGAAATAGTCACCAGCACGGCTTGCAACAGCTGTGTCAGGGTGATTTTCATCCATAAAGGTTTGCAGTTCAACCCACTGTGCACACATTTCCTTAATTTTTGAAGTAGGCACAATGGATTCCACAACTGGCATAGGCTTCTCAGGGTTAGCCCCAAACCCTTCAAAATCTTTCTTAATTTCCATACTAATTCTCACCCTTTTTACCACAGGGTTGGCACTAGAAGCTTTCTTGGGGCCCATGGTCACTTATTTTCCAGAAACAGCACCGAAAACACTGTAATAATACGAAATATTCCGATTGTATGCTTGGATGTTATTGCGGAGGCTGGCTGGTAAACAATGCCACCGGCGGAACATGTGAGCGTGGCTCAGGCCGCACATTGGAAGCGTCTCAGACGAAAATCGGTAAGCGGGTTTTTAAGCGGTATGCGAGGCAAAATTTTTGCAATTAAAGTAAGCGGTATGCGAAATAATCGCTATGTGATGCCATCGTTATGCGGGGGTCCACTGTATATATATATATATATATATATATATATATATATATATATATATATATATATATATATATATTTCTTCTTCCTTTCAATTTTGGGTTTCTCTTTCTTTTTGGGTAACCCTGCCTCGGTGGGAAATGGCCGATGTATTAAAAAAAATATATAAATAAATCTGTAGTGGAGGGGTAGGGGTCATCCTAGGAAAAGATGAAGGGAGGAGGTAAAAGGAGGTTTTGTGTGCAAGGGGTTTGGACATGCAGTAGGCATGTGTGAGAATGTCAGATAGTGAATGGAGATGAATGCTTTTGGGACCTGACGAGCTACTGGAATGTGAGCAGGGTAATATTTTGTGAAGGGATTCAGGAAACTGGTTAGCTAAACTTGAGTCCTGGAGCTGAGAAATACAATACCTGCACTTTAAAGGAGGGTTTTGGGATAATGGCTGTTTAAGATAAGAGATAAGATTTCGTTCGGATTTTTAACCCCGGAGGGTTAGCCACCCAGGATAACCCAAGAAAGTCAGTGCGTCATCGAGGACTGTCTAACTTATTTCCATTGGGGTCCTTAATCTTGTCCCCCAGGATGCGACCCACACCAGTTGACTAACACCCAGGTACCTATTTGCTGCTAGGTGAACAGGACAACATGTGTAAGGAAACATGTCGAAATGTTTCCACCCGCCGGGAATCGAACCCGGGCCCTCCGTGTGTGAAGCGGGAGCTTTAGCCACCAGGCCACCGGGCCACTAAAGTAACATCTAAACTGTCGTATCAGAGCGTCTCTGCAAAGACAGTGATTATGTGTGAATACATATTGGTGAAAGTGTTACTCTCTTTTTTGGGTCACCCTGCCTCAGTGGGAGACGGCCAACGTGTTAAAATAAATGCATATATATTTTTCCAACATTAAGTATGTATAGGTCTTTTTCTGACCTTAGTCCTTTACCTATTATCTAATATGCAAATAACATTGTGGACCCCAGCAATAATAATTTCTTGTGCGTGAACTGGGCAGCAGGGGCACTGGCCCCTGGAACACCCTCCAGGTATATTAGGATTTTTTTTTCTTAACACACCTTCTATTTCCCTCCAAGGCAGGGTGGGGGAAAAAAAAACTTTCACCCTATCACACTATCAGCATCTTTGCAGTAGCATGCAGATACAAGTTTAAATGTCACTCTAAACAGCAACTATCCCCATCCCTCCTTTCAAGTGCAGGCATTGTATTTCCCACCTCCAGGACTCAAAGTCCGCCTAACCAGTTTCCCTGAATCCCTTTTATTTATTTATTTATTTATTTATTTATAATTTGAGCACACTTACAGAGGTACAAAAAAATACAGATAAGAGCAGCATGCCAAAGCCACTTATACTATGCATAGCATTACGGGCTGGCTTAAAATTAACTTAAGATTAACTAAGCAATGATGAAATCAGTGAAAAACATTAATGTAAACTGATTACTATAAAGCACAAGTGAGTATTACAAAGACAGGTCATATGGTTGCATGCATTGTTGTAAATTCAGTAGAATGGAGTATTCTGTTAGGTAGTGAATTTAAAAAATAATAAAGTTAGATTGGGTTTTAGGTTTAACATTTATGTGATATAATTGTGAGAAACATTTAAGATATACAATTTATAAGGTTCAGTTATTCAGTATTTATTTGGTTTTGGGTGAGTAAGTGATCTTTGAGAAGAGACTTGAATTTATAAACAGGTAGTGTTTCTTTTATATTTACAGGTAATGAATTCCAGATTTTAGGGCCTTTTATGTGCATTGAGTTTTTGCATAGCGTGAGATGGACACGAGGAATATCAAAGAGTGATCTGTGCCTTGTGTTATGGTCATGTGTTCTGTTGAGGTTGGCAAGGAGATGTTTGAGGGGAGGGTTAATATCAGAGTTGAGTGTTCTATGTATGTAATAGGTGCAGTAATAAGTATGGATGTTTTGTATGGTGAGTAGGTTGAGTGTATTGAATATTGGTGGAGTGTGCTGCCTGTAGTGAGAATTTGTTATCATTCTAACTGCAGCCTTTTGTTGGGTAATTAGTGGTCTGAGATGGTTACTTGTTGTTGAGCCCCATGCACAAATTCCATAGGTGAGATAGGGGTAAATAAGAGAGTGATATAGGGCCAGGAGGGCTGACTGTGGAGCATAGTACCGTATCTTCGATAGTATGCCTACAGTCTTGGAAATTTTCTTAGAAATTTGTTGTATATGTGTATGAAATTTGAGTCTATTATCAAGGTGGATTCCTAAGAATTTTCCCTCTGTTAGCTTTGTGATAGGTGATCCGTTTATCATTATGTTAAGAGGGACATCTGTAGCTCTGTTACCAAACTGAATGAAGTAGGTTTTGTCAATGTTTAGTGTAAGTTTGTTAGTACTCATCCAGGTAGATATTTTCTGTAATTCGGTATTTACAGTATTGGCTAGCGTGACTGGGCTCGGGTGGGAGAAGACGTATGTTGTGTCATCAGCAAATAGTGTGGGTTTGAGTAATTGAGAAGCATTTGGTAGGTCATTTATGTATAGGAGAAAGAGAAGAGGGCCAAGGACACTTCCCTGTGGGACACCAACTGTAATTGGTTGTGCAGAAGAGTTTGCCCCATTTGCGTACACATATTGGCTTCTGTTGCTGAGGTATGACTTGGCAAGTCCCAAAAAACCATTCGTCTCCACTCACTCCTATCTAACATGCTCATACATGCCTGCTGTATATCCAAGGAGATATTAGCAAATAAAATCTTTGTTTTGGCTAACACAGAAGGGCCAATCAATGGTTAATATTCAGAGAAAGAATGGGATATAATTTACATCTGAATGATTCAGGTTTAGTTTAGCTAATTGTACACTGGTATATACTCCCATTATAGCATGCAGAATTGTTGAATTATGTTATAAATAGTAAATTGACATTTATCACAATGAGGACTCACTCCGCAATTAATAGATACGGAAATGGTGTGTTACTCTTTTTATTAATTGTGAGTGGCCTGGCATGCGAGACGACTGATGTGATTAGTCAGCCATGTCACATGACTCAATACTAACCATGGTTGGTATTTCATTATCAGAGTTATTTTTGCTAATATCTCCTAAAATAAGTATGTACAGTGGACCCCCGGTTTACGATATTATTTCATTCCAGACGTATGTTCAGGTGCCATTACTGAACGAATTTGCTCCCATAAGGAATATTGTGAATTAGATTAGCCCATTTCAAACCCCCAAACATACACGTACAAATGCGCTTACATAAACACACTTACATAATTGGTCGCATTGGAAGCTGATCGTAAACTGGGGGTCCATTGTATTTGTACAATAAATAACTATTATTGTTGGAGTTCACTGAGGTTGTTTGTTTGTTCAGACATAGGTAAAGGGCTTAGTTCACACCAGAACATTAACTCAATATTATTATTATTATTATTATTATTATTATATACACGTATGGGGAAGTGCTAAACCTGTTCGTTGATAAGTTTTGGTGCTGATGAAGTTGCAAAGGGCAACCACAAACTATGCCAAACTAAACACTACCTCTTCCTCTACAAGGCTGACATATTCGTGAACTCTGAGCTGATAAAGGAAAGTCATTAAGCTTTTAATATAAAAAAGGTAGCCCTCACTGCTTAGAGACCAAGGTAAGGCTAGACACATAGTGGGCTACCTCAAAAAAGTCAGAAAGTGGCTATGAACTAGTGTCCTAAAATAATATTCTACCTATGCCCAGGGCTGAAATAGCACTGACACTGTTATTGGTTTGTTCAGAGTCATTGACAGCTCATGCCATATGTTTATTCAGGTGCAATCACACAATTTTTGGATGAATTACAAGTCTTACATATGTGTAAATACCTAGGATAACCTAAGAGTAAAAAAATGACAAATGTCCACTGGGGTTCCATATCTAGCTGTGCTTCCAATGTGCGGTAATACATGTATATCGTATTATAATCAGGGGGGAGTGCTAAACCTGTAGGATTATACAGCACATGTGGGGGGGGGGGGGATGGAAGGTATTCAGGCTCAATTCAGAGAACCAGAACACAGATCCAATTCTCAAGATCAAGAGCCCCTCACCAGCATCAAGGAACCTCCCTTGAGGGGCCATGTACGGTGATGTATTGCCTGAAGATAGACTATGAAATAAATAGAAACAGGAACTAGTTTTTTACACAAATTTTACAGGCTAAGAGCTATTATCCTGCCTCAGCTCATTTCAAAGCCCAGCCCTATCTAAGATCAAGGACTCCTATAGAAATAACTCTTGACTTTTTTTGGGGGGGTTATCCTTGGTAATTTACACATGTTAAACTATGCAAAACAACCACTATGAAAGAATAGAGAAATTCCAAGCGCTTTCGTGACTACTCACATTATCATAGTTCCTTGATAATGTGAGTAGTCACGAAAGCGCTTGGAATTTCTCTATTCTTTCAGAGTGGTTGTTTTGCATATTCTGAAATCACCTGTTTACTGTGATCTTATTGCATGTTAAACTATGTATGATAATTGTACTTATGTGCACCTGTACCTATATAAACTTACTTACCATCTCATGGGAAGCCATCCACAACGATCGACTATCAGTGAACAGGGATGACAGGTGTAAGGTGACTAGCACCCAGGTACTTGCTTACTGCAAGGTTAGCAGTGACAGCAGGTGTAGGATAACATTAGCAATATTTCCTTTCATGCTGGGATCGAACCATGGACACTGGAATATAAGTTGAGTGCAGCCATCAGCCTCCCACAAGAACAAACTTCTGTAGAATGAAAAAAAAAAATATGCAGCTGATAAATGGTGTCCAGCAAACAGAATACATGTATAAGGAGAGCATCTCAGGAAGAATGAAGGAAATTTGTCACCTGAACTTAGACATTCAGAAACTTCCCAAGGCTGGTGCAAATGTCACACAAGAATGAAGGAACACTGTGGCAAGGCTATTGGTCCATTCTAGACAGGTTAAACTCACACCCAAGTTGGGTGCTCGTGGTTTGGTTGATAGCATCCTCAGCTCACATACTGAGGGACTGGGGATTGTTCCTGGCATGGGTGAAACGTTGGGCATGTTCCCTTACACCTGCTGCCCTCTTCACCCAATGGCAATAAGACAGATGGTCTCTGATGATGCATAGATTTCACTGGGTTATCTTGGGTGGCCAACCCTCCAGGTTAAAAATACAGTGGTACCTCGAGTTTTGAACACCTCCCAACTCGAACAATTATGTAGTGTATTTTTGTAAGTGTATTTTTGGGGGTCTAAAATGGACTAATCTAATTTACATTATTCCTTATGGGAACAAATTCGTTCGGCATTGGCACTCGAACAGCCATCTGGAACGAATTAAGTTCGTAACTTGAGGTACCACTGTACCAACAAAATCTTATCTTGCCCAAACCGACTATATTTAAAGCTACCCAAAGTTCTTAGCCTCAGTGATGTAATCTGGGGGTTTGTTCCAAAAAATACTGATCTAGTGTAAAATAGCATGATAGGCCTAGTTGTAATTAAGCAATTTTTTCTATTCAGGTTTTATACAAAAATTTAAGTTTTTAGAATTGTCTAAGATATTGTGTAAATTGGGCTGAAATGGAGATTTGGTCTTCTTGAAAAAATCATAGTAAGTTTATTCAGGTATACTGTACACAAATACAGTTACATAGATTATCATACATAGCAGCATATGTGTAGAGAACCTAGGATAACCCAAAAATGTCAAAGTGACTTACTTCATGCACTTTTATTTAAAAATGCAAGCTTATCTATACTTGGTACAAATTATTGTTATTCTGAAAGATATTAGCCCAAAAATATTTATTTTTGGCATGTGCAGCACCTCTAGGCCAGTTGTGACGTTCTTGGCCAATCACAGCGAACGTAAACAAATTATATAAATATTATTTTAATCCTAAGTGCTAAACCCACAAGGGTCATACAGGAACATAAACAAAGCTGAATCAAAAATAAACAAAGGCATGCCGGTCCCATATCTACTGCTGGAGGAGTAAGATCTGAGATATGTAAGGTTATTTTAGGCTGGTTTTGTTAGGATAGGTTTGGTGTCAGATCCCACTGAGTGTTAAGAGGCAATAGCACACCTAGTGGCATGTTAACAGGCGGGTTGGCACACCTAGTGGCATGTTAACAGGCAGGTTGGCACACCTAGTGGCATGTTAACAGGCGGGTTGGCACACCTAGTGGCATGTTAACAGGCGGGTTGGCACACCTAGTGGCAGGTTAACAGGCGGGTTGGCACACCTAGTGGCAGGTTAACAGGCGGGTTGGCACACCTAGTGGCAGGTTAACAGGATGGTTGGCACACTTAGTGGCATGTTAACAGGCGGGTTGGCACACCTAGTGGCATGTTAACAGGCAGGGGTGGCACACCAAGTGGCATGTTAACAGGCGGGTTGGCACACCTAGTGGCATGTTAACAGGCGGGTTGGCACACCTAGTGGCATGTTAACAGGTGGGTTGGCACACCTAGTGGCATGTTAACAGGCGGGTTGGCACACCTAGTGGCATGTTAACAGGCGGGTTGGCACACCTAGTGGCAGGTTAACAGGCGGGTTGGCACACAGGCGGGGATGGCACACCTAGTGACACGTTAACAGGCGGGGGTGGCACACCAAGTGGCAGGTTAACAGGCGGGGTGGCACACCTAGTGGCAGGTTAACAGGCGGGGTGGCACACCTAGTGGCACATTAACCGGCGGGGGTGGCACACCAAGTGGCAGGTTAACAGGCGGGGTGCACACCTAGTGGCACGCTAACAGGCGGGGGTGGCACACCAAGTGGCAGGTTAACAGGCGGGGGTGGCACACTTAGTGGCACGTTAACAGGCGGGGGTGGCACACCAAGTGGCACGTTAACAGGCGGGGTGGCACACCTAGTGGCAGGTTAACAAGCGGGGTGGCAGATCTGGTGGCGTGGTATAGAGGGGCATGGTGGCAGACCTAGTGGCACGTTAACAGGCGGGTGGCACACCTAGGTGGCAGGTTAACAAGCGGGTGGCAGATCTGGTGGCGTGGTATAGAGGGGCATGGTGGCAGACCTAGTGGCACGTTAACAGGCGGGGTGGCACACCTAGTGGCAGGTTAACAAGCGGGGTGGCAGATCTGATGGCGTGGTATAGAGGGGCATGGTGGCAGACCTAGTGGCACGTTAACAGGCGGGGTGGCACACCTAGTGGCAGGTTAACAAGCGGGGTGGCAGATCTGGTGGCGTGGTATAGAGGGGCATGGTGGCAGACCTAGTGGCACGTTAACAGGCGGGGTGGCACACCTAGTGGCAGGTTAACAAGCGGGGTGGCAGATCTGATGGCGTGGTATAGAGGGGCATGGTGGCAGACCTAGTGGCACGTTAACAGGCGGGGTGGCACACCTAGTGGCAGGTTAACAAGCAGGGTGGCAGATCTGGTGGCGTGGTATAGAGGGGCATGGTGGCAGACCTAGTGGCGTGCCTAGTTTATGAAGGTGGCGTGGTAGGCCCGGTGGCGTAATAACAGCGTGCTAACAACCGAGATAGCATAATAAGAAACATGTACGCCTAATGTTGGAGAGAATGTGGTGGTGTTGGAGGTAGTGTTGGTGGCAGCAGACGACACACTCAGCTGATCATCGCCATCACTGCCGGACGTGACGTCTTCATGTTGCCAAGTCTCCTACCATCATACAACACATTTCCCACCTCCTACATTAAATCCCCACTCTCTCTCCTGTCTCCACAACTCCCAGATAATTCTCACTCATTTATGATGCTCCCCTGAACACCTAAATATACAAGTAATAATGCTTTTTTGTTTTGTGTACATGAAACATATGGCAGATTTTGTAAGGCTATAGACACGTATTTTCCGGTGTGTCTAGATCTCCAGTGTATATAGTTTATAGGACGATAATTACTCTGGTAGAGAGGTAAGCAATGTATATATGTGATGAATATGACATGTTGATTAACTCGAGTGTCTGAAGCGTGAAAAGAAGTGGGTAATTTAGCATAAAAGTGTTGACAGAGGGTGACCTGTCAGTTTGTCTCATGATTATTCTAGTCCATCGTACTATTTTAATGGTACTTTATCTTCTTTAGGATATTTTCTTAACCCACTCAGGTCTCCAGTACACCATTCACCTCCCCACTGCCCTCACATGCCTCTCCCTTACACTCTGTGACTATATAAAACAAAGACCAGTGTATATAGGTTTCATTCTTTTGGACTTTATTTTATATCAGTATTTGCTAACACTTTTTAAGCTTTGTAGTTTTTAAGCCTGTTTGCTATTATTTACAAGTCTTACTTTTTTTATGGCTAGTATTTGATAAATTGTGATACATGCTAGTTGTTGCTAGTGTAGTTGAAGGCTGCTACAAGTTATGCTATATGAACATTACTCCTCAGGTCTAGGGTTCAAACATAACCCAGATCTGGACAGGGAAAAACAAATGGGGACATACATTCTCAAACAGGAAAGGGAAAATAGTGCTGAAAGATCAGGCAAAGTAAGACACCCACACCTTACCAGAGCTCATGACCAACTTTTCCCAAAATCGGTAGAAAATTTAATGTAGGAAAAATAAGTATCTATGTTTGGCATCCCAAATAGCATGCATGTTGGCAAATGAACAAAGTGCCCTAAAAGATAATTGAAGACTTATGCTACTGATGCCCAGGGCAGATGAGACACCAAAGTACCACCAAACATGGTGAGGTCCTACCACAGAGTGTAGCAAATCTATTTGACAGTGTTTCACCATACAGTAACTTACAGTAAAGACTTTCTTAGTACAGTAGACCCTCTGTATTTGGATGCACCTTTATTCATAAAATCCAGTTTTCTGTAATGAATACTGAAACAACACATGCTTTTTGAGCACTTGATTAAATTGTTATTTTTTGTTTAACTTTGTGTTATTTTTATTTTATTATTAAAAATAAGTGATCATGCAAGAACCACCATTGAACTAATAAAGGAACTTATTGTAAGACACAAAAATGGAATACATCTCATCGCCCTAGCCAAGGCCTGTGGCATGTCAACATCTACCGTATTTTCTGTTGTAAATCACATCAAATCAAATGAATTTTATTTCTTTGCTGAGGTTATGTGTTTACATTTCATAACTTGATTGGTACAAAGAAGGCCACTATTATGTCAAGACATTTCAGACAGACTTAACCAAATACAGTGGACCCTTGCCTAACGATATTAATCCATTCCTGAGAGCTCCGTTAGGCGAAATTATCGTTAGCCGAATTAATTTTCCCCATAAGAAATAATGGAAGTCAAATTAATCCGTTCCTGACACCACAAAGAATGAACAAAAAAAAAATTTTACCACATGAAATATTAATTTTAATACACACAAACTGAAGAAGACATGCACAGTTACATGACACTTACCTTTATTGAAGATCTGGTGATGATTGATGGGATGGGAGGAGGGGAGACTGTGGATGGTGTTAATGTTTAGAAGGGGAATCCCCTTCCATTAGGACTTGAGGTGGCAAGTCCTTTTCTGGGGTTACTTCCCTTCTTTTAATGCCACTAGGACCAGCTTGAGAGTCACTGGACCTCTGTCGCACAACATATCTGTCCATAGAGGCCTGTACCTCCCGTTCCTTTATGACTTTCCTAAAGTGTTTCACAACATTGTCAGTGTAATAGTCACCAGCATGGCTTGCAATAGCTGTGTGAGGGTGATTTTCATCAAAAAAGGTTTGCACTTTAACCCTTTGACTGTCGCGGCCGTATATATACGTTTACGAGGTACCGTGTTTGACGTATATATACTCATAAATTCTAGCGGCTTCAAATCAGGCAGGAGAAAGCTGGTAGGCCCACATGTGAGAGAATGGGTCTGTGTGGTCAGTGTGCACCATATAAAAAAAATCCTGGAGCACGCAGTGCATAATGAGAAAAAAAAACTAGGACCGTTTTTTTTAATTAACCCTTAAACGGTCCAAACAAATCTGCGTTCAAATTCGTAGTGCTACAAAAGTAGATCTACTTTTTTTTACATATTTTCAAATGTAACAAAAAAAAAATGTAAATAAAAGTTTTTTTTACACGTTTTCAAATGTAAAACAAAAAAAAAAAGATCTACATTTATTTACATACTTTCAGATGTTGAAAAAACGTATATATACGTTTGGACCACTTAAGGGTTAAAATGCCGACTTTGTGGTCTATTTTCGTATAGCATTTGTGGTTGTATTCTCGTTTTCTTGGTCTCATTTGATAGAATGGAAACTATATTGTAGAAATAGAGGTGGTTTTGATTAATTTTACTATAAAAAGAACCTGGAAATGGAGCACAAAGTACGGGAAATGTTTGATTTTTGCCGATGTTCAAAAGTAAACAAATGATCTCATTGTCCAATAAATGTCCAAATAGCCATTCTGATATGCAGTCATGAATGGGTTGATGTAGTTTTTACAATTATTACAGTATTGCAGTAGTCTGCATAACAGTAAATCTTCTATTTTTTGTTTGAATAAAATTTCAAAATAAAAAGCAAGAGTAATATCAGAGGGGCCTGGAGACATGACTGATGAACAAAGAAAATGTTATTTTAGAGCCAGGAATGTCTGCATTGTTCATTCTGGTCCTTATTTTGAAATTGTCATATTTTTTAATTTTCGTGAAATTGGCCAAATTGCAAATTTCTGACCATGTTATTGGGTAGTTGAAATCGGTAAATGGGCAGTTTCTTGTACTCAATCGATGGAAAAAATGGAGTTCTGAAGAAATAGCTATGAGTTTGGTTGACTGGAATAATGGAATTAGCCGAAAATAGGGCTCAAGTTGGGCAAAATCGCCGATTTGTAAATATCGCCGAGGTCGCTAACTTCGCGAGAGCACAATTCCGTCAGTTTTCCATCAAATTTCATTTTTTTTGGTGTCTTTACAATCGGGAAAAGATTCTCTATCATTTCATAAGAAAAAATAATTTTTTTTCTTTTTTTTTTTTTTGAAATTTTGCGACACCAGGAGACACCTCAGGATTGGGGGTTGCTAGAGTCAAAGGGTTAAGCCACATTGCACACATTTCCTTAATCTTTGAAGTAGACAACTTCAATTTCTCTGTCCCCTCCTCCGGAGCAGTTTCCTCAGGTCTGGCCTCTTGCTGTTGAAGATGATCCAGCAGCTCATCAGTGGTTAGTTCATCATTGTCCTCCTCCACCAACTCTTCCACATCCTCCCCACTAACCTCCAACCCCAAGGACTTCCCCAATGCCACAATGGATTCCTCAACTAGCATAGGATTCCTAGGGTTAGCCTCAAACCCTTCAAAATCCCTTTTGTCTACACATTCTGGCCACAGTTTTTTCCAAGCAGAGTTCAAGGTCCTCTTAGTCACTTCCTCCCAAGCCTTACCTATAATGTTTACACAATTGAGGATGCTAAAGTGATCTCTCCAAAACTCTCTTAGAGTCAATTGAGTTTCTGAGGTCACTACAAAGCACCTTTCAAACCTAGCTTTTGTGTACAGTTTCTTGAAGTTGGAAATGACCTGCTGGTCCATGGGCTGCAGGAGAGGAGTGGTATTAGGAGGCAAAAACTTGAGCTTAATGAAGCTCATTTCCGCAGAAAGTCGCTCTGCCACGTCTGAAGGATGACCAGGAGCATTGTCTAATACCAGGAGGCACTTAAGGTCTAATTTCTTTTCAATTAGGTAATTTTTCACAGTGGGGGCAAATGCATGGTGTAACCAGTCATAGAAAAAGTCCCTAGTGACCCATGCCTTACTGTTTGCCCTCCACAGCACACACAAATTAGCCTTGAGGACATTGTTTTTCCTGAACACACTGGGAGTTTGAGTGATACACCAATAAAGGCTTCACTTTGCAATTACCACTAGCATTAGCACACATCAACAGAGTAAGCCTGTCTTTCATAGGCTTATGTCCTGGGAGTGCCTTTTCCTCCTGAGTAATGTAGGTCCTGCTTGGCATTTTCTTCCAAAACAGGCCTGTTTCGTCACAATTAAACACTTGTTCAGGTTTCAGTCCTTCACTGTCTATGTACTCCTTGAATTCCTGCACATATTTTTCAGCTGCTTTGTGGTCCGAACTGGCAGCCTCACCATGCCTTATTACACTATGTATGCCACTCCGATTCTTAAATCTCTCAAACCAACCTTTGCTGGCCTTAAATTCACTCACATCACCACTAGTTGCAGGCATTTTTCTAATTCAATCCTCATGCAACTTCCTAGCCTTTTCACACATGATCGCTTGAGATTTGCTATCTCCTGCTGTCTGTTTTTTGTTTATGCACACCAATAACAGTCTCTCAACATCTTCTATCACTTGCGATCTCTGTTTCGAAAACAAAGTTGCACCTTTGGCAAGAACAGCTTCCTTGATTGCCGTTTTCTTGGCCGCAATAGTAGCGATGGCTGATTGGGGTTTTGTGTACAACCTGGCCAGCTCGGAGACACACACTCCACTTTCATACTTAGCAATGATCTCTTTCTTGATATCCATAGTAATTCTCACCCTTTTTGCTGTAGGGTTGGCACTAGAAGCTTTCTTGGGGTCCATGGTGACTTATTTTGCAGGTGCAGTCACTAGAAAGGCTGTGATAATATGAAATGTTCCGATTGTATGCTTG